AAACGCTGTATATCAAGGGCTAGGGTGTTTCTTTTGGGGAATCATTAACATATGGGGCTTTATTTGTTACTGCAGGGACAGTCCCAGAGTTTACAATTTTCACTTTCCTTTTGGTACGTCTCCTTCTCGATCTGGTGAGACAGATTTCTTGGTGAGTACGTTGATCTAGCCATTTACATTTCCTAGTTTAAGATTCAAATATTCAGTTTCAGTTCTTGAGATGCCAACGAGGGAATTAGTAGAGAGAGTCGTTTGTTTCCGGTCTTTTCTTCTTCTCGGAAAGCGAAACGATTTCGTGTTGATGATCGGTGGTAGGACAAATTAAGATTTCTTTCGTTGCGATATCTAAATACTGGCTGACTCTATATCAACAAAAGGTTTTGAAAACTTGATTGCAAGGACAATAGCTACTTTAAGGTGACTCGACCCAGTTTTTTTGGGGGATACCATCCTACTTTCAAGCTCTCTGGTATCCCCACCTTTACTTTTATCGCAAGTCTAACACATAGAATGGGTAACATATAGATCAATCTACAACATAACATAAAATTTTTGGCGATCGGAGTAAATGTCACGTGGTTATAATGCCACGCCTCTTTGAAGTCTGAGTCGAAAATCTGCTGTTGCCGGTATTTTTTTTGTGAAAATCTCTCAGCTACACATAGTGCGCATTAGTGCCTTGCGCTGAACAGAGTTTCACCAAAATCGCAAAGACCCAATTCGAGAAATTCAGCGGTTTCCAAATTAAGGTCATAATTTATATAAGCAAACTTTACACGATTATATCTAATAAACTATGAGACTTATCCCTTTATTTTGGGGATCGTTATAACAGATGGGTCCTTGCAAGTCAGCAAAACGCTTTAGGGCCTTGTAAATGCGCGCGATCTCGAGCAAAGCAAACATATAGAAATTATAGTTTTAGCTATTTGTTGACGTTTGTCAGCGTTTACGAGTCCTTCTCACGAAAAAAGCATTTTCTTAAAAATTCGGGGTTTTTTTCCTTCAAACTTTATCAGGGCCACAATTGATTAACTAACTACCCGGACTCTAAATTTCATGGTCATTGAAAAACTGTGACATTATCTTCTATAAGCCCAAACTTGAGTAAACATTGAAGATTTTTATCCTTTTGGCTGAGTTTGTGCTTTGGGAATTGTCTATTGTTTCTAGTCTGTCAAGATACATAATAATAATAAGTGTTATTTAGCCTGGGTTATCTCTTCAGCATAAAATGCTGCTATCAATGAGGGCCCTGGAAAAAAATATCTACATAGGATTCAGCATTCTTGTTCAGCACGAGTGCAATGACCGCGCTTGGCTGACTTCCTTAAAGCATTGCAACGCATTACCAGCTTAATTCAAACTATTTAGTTTGACGTCTCTTATATAACCTTGTTTATATTCGTGCACGTGCATATGAAACTTGAAAACAATGCAAGTGAATAATGAGGACGCACACTTGTAAACTCAAAATCTAAGGGAACAGTTGGTTATATTTGAAGCCCTATTTAAAAGCCTTCGCTGTTTTCAATGTTCTTGAAACTTACAGGGTATATTTATTGACAATTGATCTCGGGATTGTGTAGTTTTTAAAAAAACTTTATCGAGCGGTTTTCTGAATAATGCGAAATTTGTAGGCATGTACCAAATTGCATGCAAAAACTGCAACAAAGGCAGCTGAATGCAGGTTAATAAAATTCTTCTTACTCGCGATCGTCCGGAGCAATTCTCTTCTTTTTTTTTTTTGTACGCAGTTTTCAATGGAATCAAACAACTATGAGATGACGCCGCTTTTGCAAAGCTTATCATTTTCTTAAAATATTAGCTAATTGTGTAGATAGTATGCTATTTCACTTTTTTATGATTCTTAAAACTTCGTTTCAAAATATTTCCAAAACGCTCCCATAGAATTTGTTGAAACTTTGCAATAATTGAGGCAATTATGGCAGGTACATACTCCCTTAAGCGATTTCTTGAAAAAACTCCTGGTACAGAGAAACACAAAGATAAATTAAAAAAACCTAATGGCGTCATTACGTTGCCATGGCCAGATTATAAGAAATTTTCATCTTTATATAATACAGTTGTGGTAATCTTTTTCCCATATCTTTACTCATGCCGACTTAGTTAATGCTCAAACTTGGGAGGTATCCCCCCTAAAAAATCCAATCGAGCCACCTTAAGTGCAACGCTTGGACACTACTATACCGAATATTACCTTTGAGTCACTGACCTTTTGGCTGATAAAATTGGTGAAAGAACGAAGTTTGATTTTGTGCAATAGTAAATTTACTTCGTGTGTTATTTTGAAAGAACATTAAATATTCACCCACCATTTGTTGTATCGGTTGCTGTGCTGATAATTAATATTCATAAGTATAAGTCACGTGCAGTGACTTTATATCTGATAAAACACCGCATACTAATAGGGGGAGATTTTATCGATATAAAGTCACTGCAAATGATGTATGATCGACTGTTTGATTGGTCAATGGGCTTATGAATAATTAATTAGTTTTTGAAGGATCTGTCACGGAGTTTTTGTGTTACATTTCGTCTCACGTGACATTTTTGGTCTTACATGTACGCGATCACGTTTGGAGCACGTGATCATGTGACATTGTGAACTGAGTAGTTTTTCGATTGAGAATAGATTTTTGATGACAGTGTACCTTTGAGAGAATTGTCATTTTTGCCGAAGACTACTGTTCAGTTTTGAAGTCCGAATGTTTTGGCAAGTGTATCCGTTTTAAAGCCCGTTACTGTTGGAGTCCTATTGGTTTCGAATAAAATCTATCACAGGTTCACGCAACGCCCTCTGGGTTAGTGGGTTAATAAGTGATAGTGTTCGTTTTTCGACAAAGAAAACTACCCATTTTATGAACTAGGGCGTGCCTTGAGGCAGCCCAGTTAATAAAAGCTAGAGGGGATTGGATCAATTGCTGGATGAGTTTTTTTACTTTTACGTACAGCTGTGTATTATCCCCTGAAAAGAGATTCGTATTCCAATTGAGTTTTCATAACCTGAGATCAGGCCTAATTTTAGCAGTTCTCATACATCCTCTCTAACGGCCACAGGAATGTTATTTACAAAGCGAAAGGAAAATTGAGCCTGATCTCAGGTTAGGTTTTCATAATGGACCGATGTAGTCTGAGACCAGAAAGACATAGCTGGACTCGGTGGAACTATTAACAAAGGAGGAATGTCGCATTAAGGTGTTAATTGATTAACGTCTTGCTAGTAGAGGACACGGACCAAAGAAACTTATAAAATCATGAGATACAGTTAAACAAACAGCTGTTCGTAAATTCTTCATGTTTGCAGCATTTCGAGTTTTCACCGATACTGAGCTTTTTAAGTCCCTGAATTTGGGGCCTGCCGCCTAGATTACAGGTTCTTTCCTGTAAAACTGATGGCAAGGGAAAATAAATAACAGTTGTTTGTCTTGTTCAGCAGACGCGTTGAACTCGTATTAGAATTGATGTGACATGGAAGACAGAGGCTTGCCTCAGTACCTCACAACCTTATCCCCATACACGGGCTCGTTACCCGTAGAAAGAATATACATATAAAAATTTGATAACTAACCTGTTTGGTTACAACAGTTGAAAAAGTTTTCGCTCTATGGAAAACGGAACGCATATCAAGCATTAAATACCTTAGGTGATCTAGGGAGCTACCTCCATGATGTCGATCTTTTGGCAATCATTAAAGGATGAAGTGATGAAGTTTCTGATTGGTCAACAAGGGAAACATTAACAGCTTATAGAGTGCCAGAGGCTATACAATGCAGTACCAGGCAGTACCGAAACTTTTTTGGAAAAGCGAGGAAGTGTGAAATAGAAACGCATGCAAAATGGCTGACAACCGAACAAAAATTAATTATTGTTAACCATCAATAAAACTGCTCGTGCAATAATTTTAACTTTTGAAACATCACTCGTGCCATAAATAAAGAAATGTACTCGAATTCATACGATTTTGTATACTTACTACATTTATGGTTGAAATGTTAGTACATTTATGGTTTATAATTTATTACATTTATGTTTCGGGTTTTCATTACATTTATGGTGGATATTACATTTATGGTTGACTTTTATTACATTTACGGTTAGTGGTACTGTTATGGTTGATTATTACATTTACGGGTGATACAGCAAGCCAGCTGGGAGCTGGTGATTAAATTGGTTTGCAATATACCCCGGCGGTGTATATGAAATAATGAATATTTAGCAATTATTGAATGAGGCTGAGTAGGATGTGAAGGATAATGCAGATTGAGGAGGATGTTATCGGCCGAGGTGGATAACATCCTCCAAGATCTGCGTAATTCTTTTTGTTATAAACAAGCTTACCTTCTCGAAGACTTTCTTCAAAACTTTCGCCTATTTCTCGGCATTGTTTCACGATAGACCATATGTTTTTCCTTGAAGATACGCCTCAAAAGTAAACATCATCCGATCCCAGTAGGGATACGTTTCGGGTATTCTTTCATTTCTTAACTTAACAATAACAATATTGTTGTTATTGTTAACAATAACAATATTTGATCTTCGTGACAAATTATTACCAAAGTAACGTAATTGCACTATGATGTACGTAATTTTGGTTCTTAAAATAGCCTTTGCAATACTATATGAACTTATGGTCATGCAAATAAAGCTCGTTGTTGTTGTAAAAGCTTGTGGCTGAAATAGTTTTATTTTCCAGAATTTTTAACAGTACGGTGTATGATGGTAAACAGTAGATTACAAACTACTCTGTAAAACTATTTATTTAGATATTCTGCATTTGCAGATTCAAGAAGTATAGAATAGGCCAAAAAAATGATAGCCCAACACTTATAATCCTGACCTACCTCAGTAAATCTTACATGAAAGATTGTTTATCTTGCCTAAGAAGTTTAACTGTTCAGTTAAAAAGACGTTAAGAATCTTGTTTCCACTTTCTTACTCTTAACATGGTTTTTTCTCAAGGTTGAGAAAAAAGCGTCATGGACAACATCTTGGAGATTCTACAGACCATTCATATTGGTGCAGTTGTTGCAACTTTCCTTTTCAACACTGGACGTATTATAAGAGCAGTAGACATCTTTAACGAATGTTTGGTGCTCCTTAACGGTAAAGCCCTAGAGACAATCAAAGAACTTACCACACCACTTCTTATCTATGTATACCGTAAGCTTCTTGATGGCTATACTCTTGTGTACGATCACACCCGTGCGATAGAATGTGGTAAAAGGCTTTTAGTGACACTACACAATAGTGGCCAAAAAGAAGTACAAGGGATGACATTACTTAAACTAGCAAACATCTACTATCAAAGAAGCAAATACGAGGAAGCAAAACAGTTTTACAAGAGAGCACTCAGCATCATGATTGAGGCTGGAAATAATGACGGAGTTGGAACATGCTACGGGAATCTAGGAACTGTATTTCTTTCTGTTGGTCAGTATACCAAGGCTGAAGAATACCTTCAAAAAGCACTAGTGATCAGCAAAGAAATCGGTGACAAACAAGGAGAAGCATCTGCTTACGGAAATCTAGGAACTGTGTTTAAATATGTTGGACAATATACCAAGGCTGAAGAATACCTTCAAAAAGCACTAGTGATCAGGAAAGAAATCGGTGACAAACAAGGAGAAGCAGCAGATTACGGAAATCTAGGAACTGTGTTTAACTCTGTTGGACAATATACCAAGGCTGAAGAATACCTTCAAAAAGCACTAGTGATCTGGAAAGAAATCGGTGACAAGCAAGAAAGGCAGCAGATTACGGAAATCTAGGAACCGTGTTTAAATCTGTTGGTCAATATACCAAGGCTGAAGAATACCTTCAAAAAGCACTAGTGATCAGGAAAGAAATCGGTGATAAAAAAGGACAAGCATCTGCTTACGGAAATCTAGGAACTGTGTTTCAATCTGTTGGACAATATACCAAGGCTGAAGAATACCTTCAAAAAGCAATAGTGATCAGGAAAGAAGTCGGTGACAAACAAGGAGAAGCAGCAGATTACGGAAATCTAGGAACTGTGTTTAAATCTGTTGGACAAAATACCAAGGCTGAAGAATACCTTCAAAAAGCACTAGTGATCAGGAAAGAAATCGGTGACAAAGAAGGAGAAGCATCTGCTTACGGAAATCTAGGAACTGTGTTTAAATCTGTTGGACAATATACCAAGGCTAAAGAATACCTTCAAAAAGCACTAGTGATCATGAAAGAAATCGGTGACAAAGGAGGAGAAGCATCTGCGTACGGAAATCTAGGAACTGTGTTTAAATCTGTTGGTCAATATACCAAGGCTGAAGAATACCTTCAAAAAGCACTAGTGATCAGAAAAGAAATCGGTGACAAAGAAGGAGAAGCATCTGCTCACGGAAATCTAGGAACTGTGTTTCAATCTGTTGGTCAATATACCAAGGCTGAAGAATACCTTCAAAAAGCACTAGTGATCAGGAAAGAAATCGGTGACAAAGAAGGAGAAGCAGCAGATTACGGAAATCTAGGAACTGTGTTTCAATCTGTTGGTCAATATACCAAGGCTGAAGAATACCTTCAAAAAGCACTAGTGATCAGGAAAGAAATCGGTGACAAACAAGGAGAAGCAGTAGCTTACGGAAATCTAGCAACTGTGTTTCTTTCTGTTGGACAATATACCAAGGCTGAAGAATACCTTCAAAAAGCACTGGTGATGAAGCAAGAAAGCGGAGACAAAGCTGGTGTTGGAGCTTCATACTTAAATCTGGCAAAACTTTGGCGAGAATTTCAACTTACTGCAAAGAGTCAAGAATTTGCTAATAAAGCACTTGAGATAAGTTACGAAATAGGGGACATTGAAATGCAGTTTAACAGCCACCTTACCACTGCTCTGAACGAGTTAGTGGCAGGAGGAAGCATACCTGAACTTCTGCGAAATCTGCATAAAAGCATTGAGAAGTGCGAAGAAATGCATAATTTTTTAAGAGTACAAGATCAATTCAAAATTTCTTTTTTTGACGAGCATGTGTCCCCTTACCTTCTTCTTTGTAGGTTGTTAATTGCTACAGGCAGTTATTATGAAGCTCTTTACGTTGCCGAGCTTGGACGATCCAGAGCACTGACAGACGTACTTTCAGATAAGTACTCCGTGGAAAAAGGGGTATCAGTCAACCCACAGTCATGGATTGGTATTGAGAACATTATGAACAAAAATGCACTTAGTTCTTGTCTTTATGTTTCCTGCTTCGATGATAATATGTACTTTTGGATTCTCAAGCCAAACAAAATTACAGTTTTTCGACAAACGAGACTCGAAGAAAGTGCAGATAAAGTTTTTGGAAATCAGACATTTGGTGGTTCTCTTAATTTATGTCAGGACCAATGCGAAGATCGATCATTGTTTTCATGTGTAAGTTCCCTGCCATCATGCAAACCATCTCAGAGTGGCAGCTTCGAATCTTTGCGTCTTATTGAAGAAGAGGAAGACGAAAATCACGACTCTAAACCTTTGACCCTTGCTGATGGTTACAACATGATAGTCGCTCCTGTAGCTGACTTACTCCAAGAATCAGAAATCATTATTATACCAGATAACTTGTTGTATCCAATTCCTTTTGCTGCTTTAAAGGATGGTAATGGAAAGTATTTATCGGATACTCTCGGGATTCGCATTGTCCCTTCCTTGACAACTCTTAAGTTGATTCAGCTCAGTCCAGCAGACTACCATAGTAAAACCGGTGCACTGATCGTAGGGGAGCCAGACGTTAGTGATGTATACTACCAAGGAAAAATTCTACAGTTAAACCCACTGCCTTGGGCGAGAAAGGAAGCAGAGATGATTGGGCGACTGCTCGATGTTCAACCGTTGCTTGGAAAGGATGCAACTAAGCAGGCAGTCCTGGAAAGCATGCATTCAGTAAGTCTCATTCACTTCGCTGCTCATGGTGATGACGAACGTGGAGAAATAGCTCTTTCCCCTATAAGCTCCTGCGGAACTCCACACGAAGAAGACTACTTATTAACGATGGCTGAAATTTTACAAGTTCGACTAACAGCCAAGCTGGTTGTCCTTAGCTGCTGTCATAGTGCAAGTGGTCAGATTAGAGCTGAGGGAATTGTTGGAATCGCTCGAGCATTTCTAGCATCGGGTGCACGCGCCGTGCTGGCGGCGCTGTGGGCTGTAGATGACAAAGCTACCATGTGGTTTATGAGTCATTTCTACGAGCACCTTGTTCGTGGTGAAAGTGCCAGTGAATCTCTTCATCAGGCCATGAAGTCGATGAGAGAGACTCGCTTTTCTGACGTCAAGCAGTGGGCACCCTTTATGCTGATTGGAGATAATGTGACATTCAAAGGTTTGTATTTGAAATCATTTTTAGGTTTTTTAGTTATCTTAGTCAAAATTTGTGAAATTGATGTTCGTGACACTACGCATCATTTTGAAAAATATTATTAAGGGAGTTATACTGAGTTTTCTTAGTTTTTTTTTTTGTTTATTGTCTTTTCCAACCCTGTCCATGGAAGTGAGGCAACTGGAGAGAAGGCCGAATTTAATTATTTTCCGATTTTTATGAAATATTTCGTAAAGCATGCTCGAATCTCTAACTAACTAAAGTGAAAATGTAAAAAACTATATTTGAGATTCCAAAGAGCATACGAAAACAATTTATTGACATACCGTAAAATTCCGAAAATAAGCCCTAGGGCTTATATTTTTCGAAGGACCTTTTTGAGGGGCTTATATTCGCAGGGGCTTATCTACGGAGGGAAATTTGCGTTTCAAAATCGATTGGGCTAGCCTTATAGTTGGAAGTGAATTTACCGTGTTTGCTTTTTTTTACTTCTGTATTTGAGGGTAATCAGTTTCCCAAGTACCTAGCAAAGGGGGGCTTATATTTAGAAGGGCGTATACATACCTGTTTTGGGGGCTTATTTTTGGAGGGGCTTATTTTCGGAATTTTACGGTATCACAGTGAAGAGAAGTAAGCGTTAAACACACTTTTTCTTGAGGGTGTACCTGATGAAAGAAAAAATGTAGCCTGTTCCAGGCTCCGCGACTGAGTCGCTCCGCACCCCTTTCACCGGTTCATCCCTACTATCTGAGAGCTTGGAACAGGCTGAAAAAGACGCTGCTAGTATTTTTAGTCTTAAAAAGATTCATCCTCAGGGAACCAGAGACAGCGCAGAGGGTATACGTACTAATTACCGGTGAGTGAGAGTTTAAAAGCAGACGGGAAGATTCCCTGGGCACTTGATCTAGCCCAAGCAGCTGCAGGAGCATATGATTTTGCAACTTCTATTTTATACAGGTATTTTTCTGGCAAATGAGCTAAGGGCAACTCCCTTGTCGATTTCGTGTGTTCTTAAAAGGAGATTTTTTGTCATCAATCGCCTCTTTTATGATGCTTGTTCTGCGGGGAAGTCGAAAGATTTAATATGCCCCCAAGAAAGTATTCCTTTCGATTCGATTCGGTTTTACAATACGTTTTGCTTTAGTTCTCTTCGTAGTCGCGATTTTGTACCAGAGGAGATGGCTGATATTCTGGGCAACCATTGCACAGGCTGCTCGGGCTTCTCGGGTGGCAAGGGATAGCATGATTGGCTTGATATCAATCCCCTGCTTCAAGCTATAATCTGATCAGTATACAAACAGCAAACGAATCGAGGGAATTTGAAATAAAGTAAAATATTCTCACTGCATGCATAATTGGCCGGTGACGCGGGAATTAAGTAACTCTTTCAAATTCCGTGGTGTTGGGCCTGCACGCTCGTGGTATGATGCATTGCGGCCCTTGGTTAGAATTGCTTAGTTTTTGCCCGCCTCTTAGCTACTTCAACGGGGTTCAGTGGAAGCGACTTAGAAGTTTCGCCCCTCCACCTCCCCTGGTGGCGGTTGACATCGCTTACTCTCATTATTCGGTATGCCTATTGTCCTGGCAGCCGCGGTTGCCTCCCACAACTTAGTTCTGCGTGTTGGAACAATAGGTATGCGCTGCGAATATTATACGAATCACATTTAAGCTGAAAGTGATACAATATGACTTTACTGAATTTTTAGCATATAATGATAAGGCAGATTCCTTAAAATGTAAAGGTTTTGTTATTTGTTTTGACTTTCAAAAAATCTGTGCCAGTTAGGTAAAACATTTAGCGCAACGAGCAACAGAAGCATGTTGATCGATGGCTAAAATAAATCGTACAAAAGAATACGTACGAAAGGGAACCGTCATGATTAGTTTTTTTTATTTGTATCGCAGGTGCATTTGATAAGAGCAGTTTGAAAGATGGCGAAGGTGCAACGGAAGCAAAGAACTTGTAAACTGAGAGGAAACATTTTCAAGTTGACAACTATTGTCACAGCTGTACATAAATGTATATACGTAGGATCTCAATGAAGTAGTCTTGTCTGAGACCGCAAAGTGAACAGGTGATAATTGTACTTTTTAAAGCAGGCGCCATTTTGATACGTTACGGGGGAAGGTGAAGCATGAGCTGAGCGTGGAGCACAAGGAGAAGGGATAGCCAGGACCAGTTAGTCGTCCTCATAGTGGAGACGTCAAAGTTGTATAGACCTTCTGAACCCACGTCTACTATATTAGTCTGGGCTTCTGTTGTTCTACGTGACTTCTGCTACTCTCGTCAAGGCCTGCCCTTCAAATCACGGTTGCTTGAAATAAGCTCAATCACTTACATGTCTCACATCAACACGAGTATTACTTTGGTTTGATAAACTTTGTAAATGTACTGATCTTGACGAACGTGATGAAATGCCAAGTAGATATCTAAGTTATAATATGATTTTACTCAGTTAGTTCTTTCTTGGGCCTTGGATGAGGGCAAACAGGCGGACGTTGTTTTCCTAAACTTTGCAAAGGCTTTTGACAGAGTGGCACATGATATCCGGCTGCAAAAATATGTAATTTTGGTATCTCCGGTGCGCTTTGAATTAGTATAAGGATAGTCTCACCGACCGAGAACAGAGAGTTGTCATAGAAGGAATAAATTCTACATGGTGTGCTATTCCATCGGGCGTACCTCAGGGCTCCTTATTGGGCCCTTCGTTCTTTGTAATTTTCATTGATGATTTGCCTGAAGTAGTAATGCCTGGAAACTGTGTGTCATTATATGCTGACGACTGCAAAACATCCAGGATTATAAACTGTCCAGCTGATCATTCCGTATTTCAGTCAGGGCCCAGTTGTTCGAACGCCGGTTAGCGCTAACCCGGGGTTAAATTTTAACCCAGGTTTCTTTTTCTTTTTATCAAAATCACACTATCGGATAATTTTCTCTATTCTTTTTAGAGTATCCAGTCATCAAATTGCAGGCAAAGGGAATTAAACTGAATTTGCTTTTTAAGCTCTCATATCGGAGTTCAAATTTCGCAGTAACCGTGGGTTACCTTAACCCAGCTTCGAACAACCCGGCCCAGATCTCGACAATTTATATGCATGGAGTCAACAAAACCTTAGGGAGTTTAACGTGAAGAAATGTAAACTTTTGGAGCACTCTTGGAGCACTCATATTGATAAAATATCGAATAAGGCCAAGAGGATCCTAGGTCTAAGGGACCTGTAAAGGATTTCAAGATGTTTCCACATTGAGAACTCTGTAGGTCACAGCTAGAGTATTGCAGTGTTGTGTGGTCACCACACACATCTAGAAATATTTCTGTGGAGCGAATTCAGCGAAAGGCAACTATAGTAAGTTTATTTTGAAGACCATGATGATTACGAACAACGGAGAAAAAAGCTCCATTTGTTGTCCTTAGAACAAAGGCGATTTTTATTTGACGTATTATTCCTGTATAAAGCCCTAAATGGCTACATAAATATTGATCTATCTACATATGTACAGTTTTTCTCAGATTCTGATCGGTATCCTTTAAGGGGAAAAGATGAATGTACTCTTAAAAAGAATTATGCTAGAACTAATACATTTAAGTTTAGTTTTTTCAATAGGATAGTGAACATGTGGAACACTCTACCATAGCTTGTTCATCAGGCAACAACTATTGCTAGTTTTAAGGAAGGAGTGAGGGTGTTTTTAGCTGGAAATGTGTGAGGTTTTTATTATTATTATTATTATTACTATTATTTTATTGATTGCTTTTTTTGTACATATCTCCATATGCGTTTTCACATTTTTAATTGTCTGTCTTATTTAGTCTTAGTTTTTATGATATGAATATTTTTTAGAAGGTGGTCTGTCTTGTATGGGGTCTTTGACTCTTTTACAGACCGTTCTTATGGCAATGCCTTTGTATTTATCACTTACGTGAAACCTTTTACCATTAAATTGTAATAAATAACAAAAGTGTTCTCTGGAATTAAGTGCTCTTTGCTAGGGGCACCCATCGACGGTTTCCCCCAAATACATTGAAAACACTTTTTAGGCTATCCAGAGTGCTTTTTTAATAGATCTCTAGAAATACATTCTATATGTATTCGGTCATCCTAGGGGTGCTTGAGTCTTTTCGACATTACAAGACCTTCTGTATTATTGTCCCCAAAATTTTAGATGCAATTAAACGTATTTTGAAAGTGAAAATTTTTCTGATTCCTCTCTCCATCACATTTTTGAATCCGGAAATAATTTTAGATTTCCTTTTTTCTACGAAAAACGGCCTAACCTAGGGAGTGAAATGTGAAAAATTAAACTTACTTTAGAAAATCGTAGGGAATTTATTTCCGAAAATTGTACATGAATGGAACGGTCATCTAAAAATTTTTAGCTGTCCTCAAATAAAAGAAAATTCTAGGCAATATTTGCTTCTCCGAACAGATATTTTACAGAAAGCCGTCGTTGCGTGCCCCTGCTTTTCGCCAATACGATAATTACGGTATTGTTTTTAAGCTTTTTTTATTTGTCTAAGATCAATCACCACCACAATGTTTCACTGATTACTGTTTTAGAGTAGTGACAGTGTTTAGCGGAAAGTTCTAAAACAATTCAGCATGATGGCGAGTCTTAGAGGACACAAACAAAGAAAATGAATAGACATGTTTGTGTCCTCTAAGACTCGCCGCTGTCGTGCTGAATTTTTATACAGCTATTTCTAGAAAGGTTGTCAGAAAAAGTGCACGCGACAATCACGAAAGGAATTGTGGGTGGTTTTAAGTTCGCTTTTCCTCAAAGGAATTTGAAAGAATGGCACGAGAGGGCATGGATATGTGTTTGCGATTGCTAAAGGAAAGCAACAAAAGTAGGTTCGACAGCTACAATGTCAGGAACAGTATATTGATCATATCCCATGTTACCTTTCGGGATTGCCGCGGGCACATATTTTTCGACAACCTTTCTCGAAATAGCTGTATATTGAAAGACCCCCATTAGTGACTGATAAGACTTAAC